TGCAAAAGCACAAATGAACGAGACAAGATATAATGATTAGATAAGATAAGAAAGCCTGGACAGAGATAAGCTACTGGCGCCATCTGTTGATGAAACCAGAACTAAAACATAATTTCTTTAAAGGCTGAAGGCAAAGACGGATTGGAATCAGGGTCAGAAAAGATTTTTTTTTTTGAATGTGAAATGCCTCTAGAAAATCCAGTTCACCAATGAAAGATGTTTCTGAAATAATTTTGGCAGCAGAGAAATTGAAAGTGTGATTGTCAGACCAACAATGTTGGGCAACAGATGACTTCTGTGTTTCCTTTTTTCTAACATATGCCTTATGTTCCTTAACATGAAATTTTAAGGCTCTATCCGGAATAGTGTCCTTGAGTATGGAACTCGGAATTTTATTGATGAGAGAATAAACGACCCGAAGGTTACATTTCTGCAAAATACTTGCGACTTTATAGCTAATTGATGGAAAGAAGGGAATGAAAACATAATTTTTATAATCTCTTAAAACAAGAGTGTGCCTTTTGGTGTGTTGGATGAGAATTTTTTAACTGCTTGATTAATAATGTTGGTTACTGTGTTGTTAAAGTGCAACAATTAAGAAGACACCATTGGTTATTGGAAAAGTAGAAAACTTGCTCAAAAGGAGTCAAGAATTTAACTTGCAATAATAAGAAGAACTCATGGATGCGAAGCAGTATTTTTACTCATTTCTTTTTAAAATCGGACAGAGAACTGAAAAACGACTGTAAATACGACTTCTGTAATTCAGCCTATTAGATTAATGTATTACAAAAGCTTTCAAATGCCACTACAGAAAAGATGTTGTTCAAAAAAAGAAGGAGGTAACTAAGGTAGGAAAGTAACTAAAATGATATCTTCGGTATAAGGTCAAAGTACTGAAGGAGACTTTTTGGTCTGAGTATCGAAGGAGGTAACTAAGATGATAACTTTGGTACAGGCTATGCACATTATAGTAAACGCCTGAAAAGCAGTCTCCCAAAATATAGAAATTGCTTTAGAAAATAAGGTTTTTATTTAGAAGCCAAAAAGAATTTAAAATCTGTTTCTAATATTTCGAACACCAATGAGGGAAATTATGAAGATTTGTTTTTAGAATAAATTGCAATGTATGATAGTATTGCGACAGCATGTGAAAATGCTGATTGCGGTATTACAGAAAGTATTAAAAGAGCTGCAGAAACTGAAATTGACAGTGACGAGAAAAGCACTGCAAACTCTGATAACTCTTGGGTTTAAAGGTGGAGATCAGAAAAGCTACCAACAGTTTTACAAATTTAAAAGTATAAGAAAGTCTATTGATGAAAAATACAGAGAGGGGGTGGGGGAAAAGGCAAGTTGAGCAATTATTTGTAAAATTTTTAATTTCATCAGGTATTTAATTACAACACTTTTTTTATAAAAATTAATAAATAATAAATTTCCAAATTTCGGAAATAGTTTATTTTAGCATTTATTTTTAATTAATAACTTAGGAATTAATTATTAGATTAATTGTTAGTTGCTAGCTTACGAAATAAGTTAAAAGTTGATAGTTTTGCAACACTGAAATCACCATTTATTAAACTCAACTGATTAATAAACTCAGATAGATTTGGAACAGAAGCGATTTTAACAGCTGGCGAGTACTGCATACCATTTTCTGGCTGGTTGATGTAGACTCTTTACCTAGTCAACAAAAAAAAAAAAAAAAAAAAAAAAAAAAAACTTATCCAAGAATTTTATATTCTAATATGAAATGTTTGGAAGAAATTCACTAGACCATAGTAATCAAATATATAAATGGTACTTCCTGTTAGTAACACCTCATCACTTTTTCTAAATGGTATAAAAAAAGTAGTAAAGTATGAATTAGTTAAAGTATGAAATTTAAACATTTGGATTGCAATAGTTTTAGAATTATTTTACTTAAATGTATCTAGATCGTATCTAATAATAAATAACAGAAACAATGTACTTTAACTAGTTATTTTTTTAAATTAACAAGCATCCACAATACATCTTAAATGTACAATAAAAAGTTTTTTTTTTTTTTTTGGTAGTATTATTTTCCTTTACAATGGTTCAAAATACCAATTTTTAAAACTGTTCAGAATTTAAAAATAAATCAATATGGACAAACATAAACTGATTAATATAAAATTCATTTAAAATTTAACAAGATAAAACTTTAAATATATATATACTTTTTTTGTTGTTGTAAATATTTCAGTGTTTTTTCTGCAGGCTTTGAATTCACATCTTTCTTTTGCCATATTTTAATAAGCTGGATCATAAAAATCAACACTAATTAAATACAATACAAATTTTCTGATTTCAAAATACAGCTATTTACTCGTAACTCATACACAATGTGTCAAATAAATTAAAACACCTTAATGAATTTGAATTTGTTCAAAATCATCAATGAATATGATGATGAACCAAACTTATTCACGAACTTTGTATCATTAAGGTTGTTGCTTTATTAAAAGTAAAACTCTGGATGATGTACAGGTAGAAAAAGTAAATATATTTCAAAAATTCAAGTTTTCAGAATGTAATTTTTATACTGATTATAAATAAATCCCAAGTTGAAAAAAGAAATTTGACTTCTGGAAAGAAATTCTGCACATATGTTGAACCATAAATAACATTTTAAAGGAGAAAGACAACAAAAATGATAAAGGAATAAGAAAAATAAAAACATACATAATTACTAGAAATAATGAAAGATGACTTGATGAATTTTACAAATAAACATCTTTGAAGAAACAATACAAAAAAATTACATTTTTTATGTACCTAATACAAAATTAGCACAATATAAAATACAAATATTTATTCTTATGGGAAATTAATTAAATTTTTTTTCAAATATGCACTGAATGATCAAAACATTAGAAACATCAGTGATTAAAAGTCTTTACTGTAAATCCCCAAGTAGATAAAAACATATGCTAATAAATGAAAGTCTGGCAAAAAATAGGGGTTCTTGTAAGTGTTAACCAATCACTGAAAACGAATACATATGCTGAGGTTAGCAATGACTATAGATGCATTGTTGACATATAATATATGACAACTAGGAACTTCTTTCGCATAATTAGCACAATCCCCTTGCAGAAATCAAAAAAATTTTCAAAAACTGATGAGTTTTAGAAATCCTGTATAAATCAGAGATATCATCATTTATGTATGTGTTCATTTTAGTTACTTATGTGTTATCATAACTACCTTAGCAAAAGTTGTCAGATTTTCAGAACATGCCAAAGTTTTGCAACGGTGCTTTTAACAATCCTTCATTCAAGTGATGTCAGCACTTTCTTATGTGATCTTTTTGTTGTATTCCAAGTCCAACAGTTTTTGTAAACAAATCATGATATTCTTTGCCTTTAACTTCATTTTAAAATACACAAGTTTGGGAAATATGCCAACAATAGAAGAAACTACAGTAAAATTTCTCAAAAGAACACAAAAATTTTGCCACAAAATTTCTAAAGGGAACAAAGGAGATAGTAGCTGTAGAGGTTTGCACAATGCCGAGCAAAAATATATCATTGTGTACATGGAGAGCGAAACAGCACAAAAAATTACAGAGATTTGGAAAAGAATATGTTTTATTGTTTAATATATCCCATAATCCTTATTTAATAATTTGTATTAATTTTAATCTGCTAAAGTATATTTTCTTTTCATATGGTAATAATATTTGACAATAAATATCGATGGTTTGGGAATCTTCTTGAAAAACAGTTACGAAAACCACCAACTTGTATTGGATAAATAACTTTTACCTTTTCATCTGTAAAAAATCACCTAATTGTGGCAGTGTGGTTACAATAATATGCAAGCAACCCTTTTTATTCTATTCCAGGTTCTAATGGTTTTTATACTTGTATGTACAACATAATAATTTTTCTCCTAAACTTCATTTTAAATATGTGCTTGTGAGCTTTGCATACAATAGAAAAATTTCTGTTCAAAAATCAGTAAAGCGAACAAATGCTTTCTTTAAAGCAACCACTACGAAATTTCCATCAGCACAATAGAAACAAAAACCCACTTGTAAGTAGGTTTCTTGATTGATTTTGTAAATAAATACTTACTTAAAATGTAAGTATATAATATGTAATTTTTTCAACTATAATTCCCAATTCTTTTTCTTCTGTTAAAAGTCTCTAAAATATCATGATTTATTTTTAAAAACCATTGAAGCTTGGAATACAACAAAAACACCATATAACAAAATGGTAATGTTGCATGAAGAGTTGTTGACCGAGTTGCCAGAATTTGGCACATTCTTAAAATTTGGTAACTAAGGTGATTATCCTAATATGCACAGTATAAAGTCTTTAATCCGGACTCGTTGGAACTTCGGCGATTCTGGATTATAGATCATCAGTTTAAATCTGGTAAGATGGCATGCAGAAATTATAAAATTAAAAATATGAAGCTCTAATTTATGAAAATAAAGAACAATTATGATCTAAAGTGTATCAAAATTTATAAAAAGGAAAAGCTTAATATTTATTTTTTTACTTTATTAAACATTTCTTTCAATGTAAGTTGCTTTGTTTTATGTGCTAATACTTTCTCTTTAATTCTATAAACAGACATAATTTCTTGTTCAGTTACAAAGTTCCGCTGTTCAAGTCCTGTAATTGCTGTGCCAAGAATACCGACTAACTTGACAATCGAAATTTTTTCATTTTCACTAACCTCTCTGTCACTTTCTTCATGCCTTTATCCATTTTTTGCAGCAATTCCACTTTTTTTGTTTGACATCGAAACATGCTTTCGCTTTGTAGATCTTTTAGCAGCTTCAGAATCGGAAACTCTTTTTAACATAATCGAAAGTTTAAGCTTATTGTTTATGAAATTGCTCTAACAGTCTGCAAAAAATAATAAGCCGGATCCAATTAGAAGATTAAGGAACAACGCAATCTGCAACATTAACTGAAATAGATAATTAGATCGTTTTAGCCTAGCTTATACCGTCCGTTATACATTAAACGCGCATGCGTAAATGTATTTACGCATGCGCAGAAAGTTTGTAGCTTTGAGGTCTGTATTATAGATCATTCTGGATTATGGACGTCCGGATTAAAGACTTTGTACTGTAGTACCAAATATGCATGCCATTTTTCTCCTGAAGTTGTAACAATCCTTACAATTCCTAAGAATAACAGGATTAAGTCTACCACATCTGTACCATCAATGGGCATACCATGGCTGCCTTGAAATCTTAAAAGGAAGGAATAAGCATGTTTTCACGATGTGCGGTGACATTATTTCAAAGTTAATTCCAAATGGACTTTAACTCATTTTATAAAGTGAATGCATGGTTTAGGTCAATGAACTATTTGTAATTCAATTCTGATGTGAAACATATTAGCATTTCATTGGATATTCTAAATTTTATGTTCCTTGGCTAATTTCATTTTTTAATTTTCTTACACATTTACACTGAGAAAACCTCAAGTAGTCAAGGAAAGCTTTTATGAGTATAAGTACTTTTAAATAGAATGAAAATAAAATTAATAATTAATGTACATAGTTATTCATGTGGATAAACTTGGCAATATAAAAAATATTGAATTAAACATAATTAAATATCAACCGATTAAGAATTCCTTGAATTTTCAAATAAAAACTACAAATAGATTAAGACAACTCAGATTTAGGACAACTCAGATCAAATGAAATTTAATAAAATAATAAAATGTAATAAGAAAAAATAAAATTCAGATTAAGTACAATTTTATATATTTTTAAAAAAATCACTAGAGATGGGAGAATGGAATTTGCCTAATTTAAGTTTCATTAATTCAATAAATAAAATAAATTTCATTTATTGTTGGGAAACATTTTCCTTAATAAAGGGTAGAACTTAAAAACTGGAAGATATGATAAATATGATGAGAAACCAAGACTTCGGTGGTAAAGCCGGAAGAGCTTTGGGCATACCAACATGTAAAGCCCAAATGGGGCCACCTCTTGCTCACAATGTTGACTGAAATCAGCATAAAAAAACCACAAAAATTTTAACATGATTCATACTTAACTAAAGCTAGAATTTGGTGGAACATGAATAGGTTATACTTTGATCCTAGCTATGAATGTTAATGTGGATGTGAAATTAATTTTAGCTTCATTCCATCTGCATCAGATCGATGGAAAGATACAGACATAGCATTAGCCTAGCAATGCCATAAATCCATACTACCAAGCTAATCTCAGCCAAGAGAGGAACAACTGTGTGATGAACAAAAAGCTTTGTCATTGGAAATACGATCATGTGTAGTATGAGGGAAATTTTTTTTAGTAAATTGTACCTTCTTATGAGATTTACCACTAATCCAAGCATAACTCAAAGAACATCTAAGCTCTAGCAGATTGTGAAGTGAGGATCAACTATATGAACCTGCATAAAACCAAATAAAATATCAGATCCAGGAATCTGAGATTGATATTAGGATAGAGTTGAGGAAGATGATGCAACAGCAAGACTTGCAAATACTCTTGCATCTAAAGGGTCTCATTCAGCTAGAAGTGTAACTATTAGGTGAGTTCTAATGTTTTGGTCATTCAGCATACATATTGTATAAAAACTACAAAAATAATGCTTGAGAAACAAAACATATCTATATTAATAAAAAAAGTAACTCCATCAAAAAGTACTTAGGAGACAATGAAAAGTGAGGCAGGAATGAATTTTTCTTTCTGTTGTTCTGACTTAAAAAAAGGGGGGGGGGAAGTTCAATTTAATCATAATTCATTGGTAATATAATAACTTGTTCATATATATAACAACTACATTTTATAAATTATTATGATATGCAAAATTAATTTAGGGTGTTTAAAACATTATATATTTATGCATGATTTTTAAATTCATTTAATTAATAAACAGTATAAAATATACATAAAAAATAAAATATGTCATGATTATGCACTATTGAAACAGATAAATTAAAAGAGTAAAAAGTTAATAACTAGTATAGTTGTAATCTCTTACTGAAATATATACAAAATAAAATCCAAAGTTACTTTCTTTGATAAAAACTTGCATAACCCATCTTCAGTAATTTTTTCCCTTTGAAGTTCTTAAAACTTTATAAGTATATAACCAGCAAACCTTTATCAATGAATAACAAACATGTGAAAAAATTGTAATGTTAGTGTAATGCAGTTACAGAAGTATCAGCTTAATGATCAACTGAATTACTATTCACAGTATGCGGAACCCAACGAAGATACTCTCTGTCAATTACTTTATCTGGACGACGTTTTTTGGCTTTAGCAATATAATCATTAATCACTTCTCGTCGTTTCAACACAATATGCTTTCCCTTCCAGTATTTTAACAAACCTAAAGCTTGTAATGTACTTACAATATCATATGCAGTTATAGCTGTTTCTTGACTAAGATCTTTTATAGATATTCCTTTTCCTTCATAGTTGCTTAAATATTCTAAGAGAATACTTTTCCAATAACTTCGATATGAAATTAAACCCAAATCAGAAAGAGGTTTTTCAGGAGAACCCACTTTTTCTTCAACTTTGCTGAGTAAGTAACTAAAATCGATGAGCATACGACCATAACCCTGTCGTTGATAAGGAGGAAGTGTTAAAATACAAGATACATTGTAATTTAAAAAGGAATTTTTTTCTTTCGAGAAATATCCAATTATATGTGCTCCTTCATTGTCAGCTTCAGTCATTACATAAAAAAGAAAAGGTTCAACATCAAAGTATAATGTTTTATGATCCAAAAAAAGCTTAGCGAGCAAGCATAAATTCTGACAGTATGTTTTGTTCTTCTGTCCGTCCACTTCAAAAAATGAAATATTTCCCTTCCTATATATTTCGTCACCTGGTGGATAACGCCATATACATTTTGCAAGATGTCTTCGCAAAACTGTTGGACTGCTCATATATTTCAAGCAGAATTCACAAATATACAACTTTGGTAAAGTCTGGTACTCTTCAGGATAAGGTGCAGTATACCAGACATCCATTTCATACCTCCCCATTTCAAGAGTATGTATCTTATCATTTTTATTCTTATGTTGTTGAAGCATTTCTTCAAAATCTTCTGCAGCACAAGCTTGTGCTTCTTTAAACAATTCAATGTCATATAAAGGAGCTAAATTATTTAATGGTGGTTCTCTACTTTTATCATCAACTTTTTTTACTTCTTTATCAGAAAAGGCCCCATTTTGCTTCACCTTGGGATTGAATGATTTTCTCCTCTGCTCCTGGATCAATCTGTACTGTTCTTTCTGCTCTGGACTAGGCCCAACTTTACGCAGACCAAATTTGTTTAGTGCACTCTGTTCTGCACTTTGTTGCCTTTCAACTCTGCGCTGCATTCTCAAATGGTACAAGTTCTCACATGCATTTGCAGTGGTATTGTGATACAGAGGACAAGTTGTCACTGTGAAATGAGATGGATACTTTCCACTTAGATGCCCCTCAGAGTTACATCCAGGTACTGGGCATTTTGGTTCTTTTTCTTCTTTAACTTCTGAATCAGTTGCTGGGCATTTATTTTCAGATACAGCTCTAGCACGACCACGCTTTTTTGGTCCTCTGGAACGCTTGCTACGAACAGATCCCTGAGTGTCACTAGCAGAATCACTTGTAAATTCTCTTTCTCTTTTCCACTTTGAACTTTCGCTTTTGCTATTACTTTTTCTACCACATCCATCATCAGATGCATCTTGTTTACTTTCTTTGTAGTTCCTGAAATTCTTTTTTGATCTACTGGAAGAGTTAGATTTTGATAAACTTAGAGAATCTTCACTTGCAGAATCAGGACTTGATTCTTTCTTTTTGCTGGAACCTTGCAAACGCATACTTTGTATAGCTTGACGTGTTGGATATACTTTGTGCAACTCTTCATCATTTGCTTCGCTATCGGATTCTTGTGCACGCTTAGCAACAGACTTGGCCTTCCGACGTCCTCTTTTTCGCTTGTTAGATGAATGAACTACCTCACTTTCAGAACCAGTTTCAGAGAACATCTCGTCATTCATTAGTTTCAAACCTAAACATAAAACATAAAAGTTAAATCAGGAATTACAAAATATAAAGATAACTTTTTACCCAAATTACTGATATTTATCATAAATCAGTAAACATTATCAACATAGCAAAAATACATGAAAGTAAATAAAATAAATTTAAAATACAAATTTTAATTAATAAATAAGGATTATATGATAAAGTAAAAATAAATATAACACATTTTTTTTTAGAATACCTTATCTAACTTTAAAGGCTGCATTTCTTCCCATGTGCAAAGAGAAATATTTTTACTTAAAAAAACATCAGAGAACTGCAGAGGCATCACTGTGCATTGGCTATCTTTAAACACATTTCATCATTGTTCCCTTTAGTAATTTTGTGGCAAAATACTATATTTCTCCAGCAATTTTTATAGCTGTTTCTTTCACTGCTGACAAATTTCACAAGCAATCTTTAAAAATAGAATTTAAGACAAAAATTTTCATAATGTGGCTATAAAATCTTGGTTTATGACAAAAATAACAAAAACGAAAAAAAGTAATGCTGCTTGAATGATGGATTGTTGGGAGCATGGTTGTCTAAAGAATGGTTATGTAAATGGCCTATTTTAAAAGTCTGGCAATTTCTACTTAGTTGCAATAGTAAGAAAAAAACTTTTTCGTATGATTATCATCCCCCATTTTTTTGGTCCCAGGATTAGCACCAATTTCACGCTTACTTCTCATATGCACTTTGTGGCTGTCATGTTTCTAATACTACTCTTAATATGATACTAATGCATTTTCCCATCCCAAGGACTCTCGCATGAAATCACCATATTCCCATTAAGTGGTGGAGTAAAAATCAGCGAGGCACAGTTTGTCACCATCCATGATGATGGCAAACTGTGCCTCACTGATTTTTTATTTTATCATTTAGTGGAGTGCCACAATCTTTCAACATTTTGTGTAAGAGTAGCTTTTATTGGATCAGACACAAAATGTCTCTAAACTGCTTTTTCTAGTTTCTCTGTATCTGTTCACCAACAGACTAAATAAACTGTTGATCCTCTTGTACACAGTCAACATTTTTTGCAAAAAGTATGGTTGCCCCCTCTATTTGAAAACTTAGTGAGAATGGATTCACTAGTTTCTCAGCATAGTATGCCAAATATCCAGTATTGTGGAAGAATCCTACTAGCTTTGTTTTTGCCCATATGAACAGATTTTTTGTTTTTGTACACAATATTTTCAGAATAACGCCAAATACTTTCATTGATATGTAGTTTTAACCACTTTCATGTATTTAGATATGAGGTAAAATGTGTCTTTCTTACACGAAACATATAGCACCTCTCTCATTTCTTGATAAATCAAACATTTTTTTGAAGAAAGAAAATGCTAACATGTGTAATACTCAGACCTTTTTTGAGATGAGAGAATTGAGTTATCATAAATTATTAACATTTATGTGAAAAAAAGAAAATAACAATAATACAAGATTTACTCAAAGATCTTTACCTCTTATTAGGACTGCAGATCATTTGAAAATGGTTTGTGTTGGTGATTTATCAATGATCTTGGCACTATTAACAAAAAACAAATGGTAATATTGAAAAGTCATTTAAAATGTTGACAGAAAAAAGCAGAAAAGAATGTTTTTTTTAAAGTATACATTATATTATCACTAAAATAAATAAAATAATTTATGAATAAATAGCATTAAAATATCCTACAAACTTATATATGATATATATAAGTTCCTATATATAAATATATCAAAGTTCCTACATGAGATTTTAATCTTAAATTAATTTTCTCCAATCTAGAAATTTTAACTGTCTTCATAAAAATTCAGCTTTATTGCAGCTAAAATTTCTGCAATGAAATTAAAATGATACAGCATTATTACTTTATTCTTTTTAGTATATAAGTCCTAATAATTCACGATCGCTCATTATTCTCTCATATTACAAGAGTGCTTATTATTCCACATACTAATGTATTTTCTTTTTTGAAGGGATTCGGAGATTCAACACAAAAAGTTGGAAGTGAAAGAGAAGCATCTGTTTTGACCATGGTTCAGTAATTTCAGAATATTGTTTTAAGAAGTACAGTAATTTAGTGACTTTTGGGCATAGGAACTGATATCGATAAAATGGCAGGAAAAATAACTCAGCCTTTATGAAAATACAACTAAAGTACAAAGTATGAAATCTGGGCCTTCTAACCTCTTTCCCTTCTTTTGGCAAAAAAGGGAGTATGAATTAGATCCCTAAAGTAGCATCTCGCTTTAGTATATGCTTAATGCTTCACAAATGTGCAGTAGACATTTTTTAATAACAAAGTATGTGAATGGTTCTGATTCTTTATTTCAGTTCAGCACTAAATAAAACACCTCCATGCTGAAGGAACGTATTCATTTATTAACTTAAATCTATACAATCAATAATTTGTTGGCTCTGTAACTGCCTTTTGCTTGGCATACATCTCAAACTGAAACATTTACCAAAATTCATTGCTGATTTTACTCCTATTGGAGTGCATAAAAAACAAACATGCATAAGTCCAAGCATGTTCTAAAAGCTGATGATGTGCATCTTTAGAATTAGTTCAATGAATATCTTGTACAATTCTTTTCACATGTGCATAATCGAAGGCATTGTTTTGATTATCGCTGGATTTTTCGCTGGGATTTTTTGTTTTGTACATATTTTCTTCTTATTCTTTTATTGATTTAAAATCTTACAAGTGCAGTGAAATTCGATGAATATTTAAACATTCTCATAAACAAAGTGAAATTATTGATTTTTTTAAAAGAAATAAATGCTTATAACATACATAAAAATTGGTAGTTTGGTTTATTTATGTTCTGCTTTTTCAGCATTACCTTGGATAATCAAAAGTGCACTGTACTTTTTTGCTTTCATCCCCATGTGACCTGTGTTACTTACTGCTTGAGAAATGAGGCATGCAATAATGTCTAAAACTGAATCTTGAAAGCATCTGTAGCATGGTTCTAAATGCAGAAAATATCACTACAGATAGTAACGAAGGTGATCAAGAGGCTGTTGTAATAAAACAATTTTGATTGAAAATTTAATGGAAATTGTTTGTTGCCTTGACAATAACAGGGGAATTCTGTGACTGAACAAGAAATTAATGAAGTTAACTTGAGCAACTTACATTGAAAGATATGTTTAATAAAGCAAACAAATAAATATTCAACTTATTTTTTATTAAATTTAATTCTCTCAAGATCATAAAATGCTTCATTATTTCACAAACAACTATTTCATGTTTTTAACATTATAATTTCTACATGATCTTATTACATATAAACTGATGATCTAAAAATCTATAAAATTCTATAGCTGAAGTTTTGACAAGTCCAGATCTCAGACTTTGTACTGTATTAACCGAAGCAGTTTTTGAGAAAAGTTTATTCTCTACATCTAAAGAGACAACTAACAAGCAAATATGTTACCCTGAAAAATTGTGGATATAAATAAAAATCTATTCGCACAGGGAAAAAGCAAAGCTGGCAAAGTTCTTCCACAATACTGGATATTTGATGAGTTATTGTGAGGAAACTATGTGAATTTTTGTCCATGTTAGGAATAGAGAAGCAACCGCACCACGGCAAAAATTTTTTTACCATGCTCAAGAGAGATTGATGATTTATTCAGATTGTTGATAAGGATATAAAATCCATTTTGATAAAATTGAAAAATGGGAAAACCAAATTAAATACTTCTTACCATGAACTATAAATTTAATTTTGTTGATCCAATAGCTGCTCATATACAAAATAGTGAAAGATTGTGGCACTTTCGTTAAATAGTGGAATAAAATTCATTGAAGCACCCATCATTAAAAGTCATCTTACCTTGCAGAGTTCATGCGGTAAAAGTCTTTGGGACAAGAAAATACTTTTGATGCCATATTAACAGCAACTGCAGAAGCAAGGCAGCCACAAAGTGTATGCAAGAAGCAAACATAAACGTGCCGATAAGCTTGACACTATCTTAACATTTAAAAAATATGATGTAAACACCATACGACTTCCTTGTACGGAATATTAAATTATATGCATTTTTTCTTGCATTTAATTTAAACTTATTGAATTAAATCTACTTCATCGATATTGCATAAACCACAATAGAATAAATGCACTCTTCAAAATTCACTATATTTGTTTACCATAGCGGCATTCTGGTGCTAAGTTCACTTAACAGTGTTATATTTCGTTCATATTATAATTCAGAATGCAAAAAATTTATATCATTTGAAGAATTATCTAATCATTGCCACATGTTCTATTCAAATACTATAATAAATCTACAACGATGTATAAAAGAAATTAAGCAAACAAAACAAAAAAGAAACAGTTCTTCATGGACGATTCAGTATTTCTCGTTCAATTAATTCAGTTCTCACTTCGCGACAAGGCAAAAATACATGAAAACTCAAAATATCTATATTAATTTTGAAGTAAATCAAACACATATTATATCCTCGAAAAATTCCAAAAAGGATTAAGCATGATTTAATTCGCAATAATAAATGAAGACGTTATCTTTGTTGTTGCGAAGCTTAGTCTCTCTAGATTGGCAAGAAATCTACTATTCTGCTGTTTCAAACGTAAACAAATATGTCAAACATTCTACTTTAAAATTAGACTTAGCGGCACTTAAACAGCTTTTAAATTGTTGATAATTCCACAAATATTGCTTGCAGATTTCCTAAAGGCATAAAAAGCTTAAACCGGAAGATAAGAACAACATAATTCAATCATTTTTAAAGCAAAAAGTGTACAATTTACAAACATACAAGAATAAAGAAACTGACATCAATCAGCTGGGTAACAGAGTGGATATATATATATATATATATAAAAAGAATAAATAGTAAAGTTAAATTAAGGCTACTCGTTTTGAGTTATGCGAGATATGTACGTACGGATGAACGTACGTAGACACCACGAAAAATTCTCTTCAGAATTCATTTTAAAGCAGTTTTATAATTTTTTTGGAGGAAATTATAATTAATTTTAAAATCTTTTAAAATTATTCTGTCCTTACATACAGATGTCATGCAAAAACATCATTAAGTTGCATTTGATAGCGGTCAAAATGGATATTTTCGTTGAAATATGCTGCCTGAAACTTTTTGCGATTACAATACAGTACAAAGTCCGAAATCCGGACTAGTAGGGACTTCGGCGATTCCGGATTTAGGATTTTTCAGGATAATAATAGATCATCACTTTACATCTAGTAAGATGGCATGTAGAAATTATAAAATTAAAAATATGAAATCATGATTTATGAAATAATAAAGTATTTATGATCTAAACGGTATCAAATTTTTTAAAAAAAAGCTTAATATTCATTTGTTTACCTTATTAAACATTTCTTTTAATGTAAGTTGTTCTATGTTGCTTCGTTTTTTGTGTTTATACTTTCTCTTTAATTCTGTAGACAGACATAATCTCTTGTTTAGTTACATTGTTGAAATCCTGTAACTGCTGTTTTGAGAATTCCGACTAACTTGTCAATTGAAATTTTCTAGTTTTCAGTAACTTCTCTGTCACTACCGGTAGCAGTATTTCCTGGATCTAGAACCATACTACAGATTTTGTTATTCATGAAATAAAAACTTCTTTTACATCATCTTTATTACCACTTCTCCACATTTCTTTACAAAATCCATTAATTGGAAAATTTCACTGTTATTTTGCGATATCCGAAAACCTTTAAAATTAGCGGTTCTCATCATCAAATTTGGCTATCTTTCACTATACATAGTTGGCTATGCATCATGAACCTGGCAACTAACGACAAGTTGTTCCGTTAAATTTTATCTTGCTTCTATTGCGCACTGAGACAATTAAGACTGAATCATATTAGTTTAGTTATTTATTATATTTATATCTATTTTTTGCACATGCATGTCCATTTTTTGCACAGGTTTATCAGAGTTTTGAAGAAATAAATTCCCACAATATATTTAAGCCCTTTTGAGGGCCGGTCTAGATATCTTACCGCTTGATGTAGTCTCTGTGGGTCCTAAATTTTGCGATTCGATGCGGCCATACGAGCCCTGGCACTGTTTCTGGGTTTATGTGAATAACAAATCAGTTATTCTTAATTCAAATTGCTCTAATGTAATCTTTGGGTTTACTACAAGTATTATCAACAAAATCTATTTTTAGTATATGGGAAAGAAATTTTTGGTAAATTTTTCCTCGTCAACATTTTTTAGCGCATTTAACTTAAATCTGTAATCATCGTCAAGCGAAATGTCAACATAAAAGATTACCACACTCCTTTATTATTCAATTACTAGCATAGAAAAATTGTTTAGGCATCGCTACATGAATCATTACTCAATTTGTCATGTTTTCATAAACATGCAGTTATGAAAGGAAAGTATAATAAATAATGATTTGTTAAGTTGGCGTCAGATCAACAATATATCTATGAGGAATATATTGGTCAGGAAGTACCAAATAACCTATTAAATATATATTTGCCAGACACTTCCTAGTTATCTCCATCTTCAGTTTTAAAATTCAGTAGAA